TTTACACGACCTTGGCATTACCTTACAGACGCGTGTGAATGCTTTTTATCTCAGTAGGAATAACTCGGGAGATCGCTCGGTTACAATTTGTTACTTTTTGTTAAATTTAACTTCACGTGTGAATCGGGTATTAGTTTATGTGGAGCATCTTGTGTTATTTGTCATTGTGAAGGGACATATCACTTAGAAGAGTGATTCACTGTTTGCCATATCCTTGGTATAAATCCATTAATAAAATTAATAAAAGAAATTAATCACTTAATCATTTGAATATTATACTGTACAAAGTATACAAAAAATACAATAAAGCTTTTTATATAGTTCAACTGAAATTGTAGTGTCTCAATTATTAATTTATACCTCTATGGTCACATTACTAAAAGGAAATAACTGAATGTTGATCATTTATATTAAACGATAAAAGGAATGGCTATCATTGGCCATCACCAGGGCTTGAAAAAGCATGTGATCGTGCAATCAGCATTTGGAGGCATCATGAATGTTCCAGCGGCATTTCTTGGGAAACAAAATTCAAAAAAATAAACTGTTGGGCTATATAGTGCACAGACAACATTTGGTGCTGGTGACAGTTTATTAAGAAAATGTTCATGGTCAGAGGTGCTAAACATTTTTTTTTCCAGGCCTTGCCATCATCAACAAATTTTTTTAACCATAGCATTGTTATATATTTCTTCCAGTGGTTTACAATTCAGTACAATTATCCCACTTGTTGTCTTAAGGATTTCCCCCATACTGTATCTCCTTATTGTCTTTCACTTGACTACTAAACCACATTATAAGTCAATCGTGATGTCATCATTGCAACTCCCAATGTTATTTGCCTACCACAGTCCAATAATTTTTTTAATAGTGGACGCTCTGCTTGATTTTTTTTTTAGGTTCGACTGCAACAGTTGGTTATCAAAACCAAAGCAAATTGCCTTGTCAAAACTAACATTAAAAGATAGCGATTGACTTATAAAGCAATTAGTAAAGCATGCATCATACACTAGCAGAAAATAATTATACATAGGTTAAATTTAATGCATTCAAAAATTTACTTCGGGCTTTGCAGGCCCTCAGGAAATTTTTTCAAGCATTAAATCTAAACTTTGTATAATAATTTTCCTACAGTGTACTATGCAGAGCTCTACTGATTGCTTACTATTGCACAGAGAATACAGCGATAATTCACGATGCTCCTCTTTACATGAAATTTCTTCATACTCTTTCAGAAGTGACACCTTTAGTTGGCCTTTGAACATACAGTACAGCTTTGTACTCAACTTCCTTCTACTAATATAATATATATTGTTAATGAGAGTACTTCGATAACGTTAGACGTACAGCCTACTGTACTACACAGTCGGTTATAGACTTTTAACAGTACTTTCTGATTTTGGAAAAAAAATAAATAAAAAATTTCGCAAAAAAACTTAATTTTTTCAGCATCGAGTTCTCCTTCATATCTGATCCAATTTCCAGTTTGTTACTTCCTTATAATGTAGAGCTCTATAGACACTATCATATTTTCTTTGACAAAAAACTGTCGTACACACCAATATATAATCCTGATGTACCTACTTATGGTCTTGATCGTGATATCATCATGACCATATTTAGACATGTCGCATGTTTTTGTCAAATACAATCTGATAGTCTCAACAGGACTTAACATATGCAAACCTCATAAGTCAACCATGTACTACTAAACAAATATTATTGATATACTATCATCAAGTATTTTTCAATTATTTGGAGATATATTTTTTAAATATATTTTTCTTTAAGTACAGTACATAGTACATATCTGATTAAATCATGATTAATCAGTAAGTCCATGGAGATTGCGTTTCTCATACTGCCATCACAGGTCTAAAAATAGTGAAAGTGTCTGTAAGACCTTAATTCAGTATGTCAGAGTACAGTTGTTACTTTTCAAAGAGATCCCTTCAAGTTATGGTAACAAAAGTATTACACACAAGGCTGAGTTAAGCCTGAAATACCATATCAGATGTTTGTCTGCGAGATTCAACAGATAATTTTGTCTGATAGTAGTATGACTTGTATTAGATACTGCAAGTCTTCATACGTCGGTGTCTGCTAGTTGGATAAAACTCTACTTCATCATACAAAAGTCTAATCAATATTTATTTCTATTTGAGTCTTGAAATAATGTGTTTGGTCTTGTGTTCAAAACTGGATTGGAATTATTATAATTAATTTTTATTATGATTTTATTGATATATCATTCTGTGGATTATATTAGTTTAAATACAGCTAAACATTGGTACCGGTCACTTTTCCAATATTTTTGTTAAAGGTGACTACATCTTAAAGCTCTACTAGAACTTACTGTAGCCTCCTTCCATACAATGTATTTGTTTTAATTTATATTCTTATTGTAGACTATCTTACTGTATTGTATGGAAAATAAATGCATATTTGATTTGATTTACAAAAGAACAGACAATTAGATACAGTATAAAAGCTGGGGAAAAGCAAAAGCATAAAAACTCTGTCACCAGTAAGGTGTGTTTCTTTTGAGTTGTCTGTTGAGTGTATCAGACAAAAATTAATACATTATATTTCATTTATTTTACCACTTCATAAAAAATACATACTGTAGGTAATGACAATTAAAAAATGTTCTTAGGAGGTGGAACGAATTCTATTTTATTTTATACCTAAATTCAGCAATAATCATTAAAAACATGAAAGTTGCGAGACACTGAGAGCAAAGATACTAGAAATACAAGATAGAGCACTCGCATAGCAAAAATGAGGCGGGAATTGGTCCAGACGTACACGGCGCCCTTCTCTTTTTATATTACTGCAAGTTTTCTATACCTGGTCCAGACGTATAGGGCGCCCTTCTGTTGCTAAGTATATCCAGATGCATACGTTATCACTAATCGGAGTCCGGTCATACGATTCTGCGCTTTGGTGTCTGTCATTTTGTTTTGACTTATTTAATGCCTACTTTTATCTTATGGATAATGGCAACGATTTCTACCTCTGCAAAAGGAAGTTATGTATTCACAGTAGTGTAACACTGGCATAAGTTTTTGGATCCAGTCGTACGCGGCACCCCATTGTTTGTATTCGCACATTGCATTTCGGTGGAACAGTTTGTTTCTGTGGAGAACTCTATCTTGTGTTTCTAGTATCTGAGAGGCGAAAACAGTCAAAAACTACTATCGCCAAAAGGCATGCCTCTCCCGCTACTACTTCCATACTATAACGTAAACCTACATTAATTGCACACACTAAATACTATGTGAGCCAAACAGAATTTAGAAGTGGAACTGTAGGTGGTTAAGATTTTTTCTTCCAAGCCCTAAGTTAAGGTTCAATTAAAAGCAACTGCATTCACTCAACGGTGGCTCCAGAAATTTGCCAACAGTGGGTCCAAACCAAAAGGCAGTCTAGAGCCTTGATCAGGGACCAGGAATAAAAATCCCTGGTAATAATAATACAGCAAGTGTGGATTTATAGATCGCATAATCCATAAAGCCTCTATGCATTATGCCTCTATTGGCAGGGTTCACAGGAGTTTTTATAGCTTAGCATGGGCCAAATTGTGCTTTTAGCACCCCCTCCCACCACCGGCGCCACCATTGCACTCACTAAGCCTCAAAAAGGAACTTTTTATTGATAGAGCATATTGTATGGGTGTCTGGGGAAAGTTATTCCCATTTAAAAAGTTATTAGATTCAGTATTTGAATATCCTTACACCTTTTATCTAAAATATAAATAATTTAGCACCCCCTCCCACCACCGGCGCCACCACTGCACTCACTAAGCCTCAAAAAGAAACTTTTTATTGATAGAGCATATTGTATGGGTGTCTGGGGAAAGTGATTCCCAATTAAAAAGTTATTAGATTCAGTATTTAAATATCCTTACCCCTTTTATCTAAAATATAAATAATTTTATGAAAATTATATAATCAATTAGCTTTTAATACCTTTTTTAACTTTATCTACTAAGATTTTTTTTTATGAACAATAATCACACAACACGAAAAAAAAAAAAACTTTTCTGACTGAGTCTCACCAAAAAATTGGCAAATTCCATTTTAATTGACCTACTATCAGTAAGTTCAAAACAACCGATTGACATTTTTGGTTGCGACATGTCTCTATAACCCCCTGCAATATCCACTACTGGGTATTCCAATAATGGTTTCTTGAGCCACCGATTTCCGAATGACATTCTGTTTAATGTATTTTAAATGTTCTGCATTCATTAATGTCTCATGGTACTCGTTGCCAATCCAGAATTTCTTGAACACAGTTTAATTTGTCGTCATTTTCGTGCTTGTGTTAAGCCTGTCCAGACTATCAAATTTTATTTGGCAAAAAACAGTTGTATGCCCATATATAGTCGTGATGTGCCTATATATGGTCATGATGTGATGTCATCATCACCATATTTAGGCATGTCACATGTTTCTGTAAAATAAAATTTGAGTCTGGACAGCTTTAAACTAATAGCCCATGTGATGCAGCCTAAGGCATATCATGCTATCGTTTTATGACTATATTGGTGATCATTTGATTTTTTTTTTTCCTGCACATTATCTCTCCTTGAATTAGTATCGGAGTGGTTAGAAATGAATGTCTACTACAATTTTAATGTAAAATTCTGCAATAATAGCATGTCAAAATCCCAGTTCGTGGATCAAAGACCCTTGTACATACCTATACAAGCCGAAGATATGCAGGGGTTACAGTAGTATCTCTTGGAGCATTAACCAACCATCATGGCAAAAAACTCTTAAATTTCCAATCTATTTTTTATAGCTACTGGCATTCGAACCAACATTATTCAACATCATATAGGTACTTTACAGCGCAAACACTCGAAGAATCCACGCGTTTTCCTATTACCGAGCGTCGCTTGCCCTGCATGTTTACAATTGACACCCACTATACGTCATGTGACCAACCTAGGGGAATGTGTCTATTGGACTCCATGCACACATAAAATATTGCCGATGACATCAGATACATCATACTCAGATGGAGTGATAGCCATTATTATTAATTTATATATCAAATACTATACAATGAAAAAAGTTCACTTATGACCTTTGACTACAACATGACTCCTATTATACCTCATACTAAATTAAGATATTATTAATAGGAAGGTACCAATTAGAGGACATGGTAAGACCTAGAGAGTAATGATGACATCTGCACTAAACGAATACTGATTTTCTTTTTATAGATATTCCGAAAATCAGGTGTCTTTGGCCACACCTATCAGTAAGTTGTGTAGAGAATAGATATATTCGGGGATCGCCACCTACTGACATAATTAATTTTGTAGTAACACCATCAAAACTTTGAGACCACTAAGTTGGGGTTAAGTGTTATTGCATGCAAAGGTTGCATCATTCAATTGTTGATTTTTTTAATTAATGGTATTTTCATTATTTCTAATCGATAGGCTGGAACTCACATTTTTAAATTTTAGGAAAATCGACAAAATATCATTGTCAGCAAATGAGCATCCTAAAACAATTAAGTACTAGAGGTTTTCACATGGCCATTGTGTAATTAACACCAAAACATAAGCATGACTGTAGATTAAAGACTGCAAAACAAGATGTGTAAAAACCGTGAGCATAGATCACACGACTCTCGTGCCAATAATTACTTCCAACCAATAAATGCTCTGGTCCAGGATGCTGTGGTCTTTGGTGAATTTCATTTGGCTTGGGAAAAAATGCTGACCTTTTGTAAGCTTTTTGAAATTAATTCTAAAAAGGGGATAATAATATAAACGCCACTACGTTAGTCATTCTGCAGAAAAAAGCCTCAATATGTTTTACAATCAGCAGGAGATGCAGTAGATAACTTTGACTTTAACTACTTAAACTACAAACTGTTCCAATATGGATGCGCAACTAGTAGTAGGTGTCCAGAACAATCAAATTGATTTTTATTTTTTCTATCTACCCTAAAGGTTGTCTCCACTTATAGTGTATCAACACCAGAACAAATGTTTCTTTGAGTAAATGTGGCTAGTGGCAATCATTAAATATACCCTTAAAAGCATCAACAATAAGTGGCTTATCTTTAAAGGAGACAGTTTTCTCCAATTCTGTTTACAGGCTTTTTTTTTAAAAGCACATAAGGCCATTATATCCACTTGCATTAGTACAAATACCATTTTAAATAACAAATATTGCATTGTGTAATTCACGCTGGCAGTAAGATTAAATAACATGCCCTCAATAGTGTTAATAACAATAACTGACATACTGTATATTATGAGATATTTTTCTCCAATTCAGTTTTTCATACATTGACATGTTTATCTCCACTTTATTGGTGTCAACACTAATTTAAATTGCAAAACAAACGCTGCATTGTGAAATAATTGTGCCAATTATTTTATGGTCTGCTGGTGCAACAACGGGACTCTTGTTGTTGGGATGTCAGAATACAAGAAGCATAGATAACTGGTGAAGCATGATAATTCTACAATCAATACTGCAGGAAAGTGAATCATATCAGGAACTCCCACCATAATTCGCAAATTTTACCTAATCAACTTTCATCAGGGCCTATTAAACAGAATATAATTTTAATAACATTCTGAAATTCTGATATTAAACAGGGGCGTAGGTAGGATTCAGTCTAGTGGGGTACAAACATTCAGAATGCGGAAATAAATCCGCATTCCAATAAAAATTCAATTGGGTTTAAGCGGAACTAATTTGCCCCACCCCCAACCTAGGCATAAGTTAAATAACCGATATTATATTGTATATCATATAATACTCATTACAAAGTATTGTTATGTGTAATTTTAGAATATTATTAGTGTACTGTATGTTTTGATAAAAATAATCGAAATTCATCGAAATGATACCTTAAAATTTGTTTAAATATTAGATTTGTAAAGAATGTCTCCAAAAGAGTTTAAACTCATAACAACCTGGTTCTTCCCATGTATAATCGTTTATTAATAATAAACATTGATCATCCAAAAGCTGGAATGAACTACCACACAAATTAAAAATTAATTTCGAAGAGATGTCAACTTTTTCATTCCAAAATCATTTTAAATAATGTCGAGTGGAAACATTTTTTGTAATTGGAAATATTTGAAATAAAATATAAATTATTTTAAATAATGTTTTTAAATTTATTTTATTCATTGTTAATTATAATTTACGCTGTATATATGTTTCTCATCACTGTATCACTTTGAAAATCAGTACTATAGTACTGAATGTGTCTACAGTAGAAAGAACGATTAAATAAATAAATAAAAATTAGCTTGTTTTGTTATGCTTGATATGGCATCCTCATTCTCCTTATATCAAAAAGCCCAGACATAAAAATGTTTTATTTTTTACTTAAAAGCAAAATATATGAGTTACACTTACCAAAACAAAACTGCTCTTTTGGTCTCAACTTTGCAGCATCTCGTGCCTATGAAATATGAGAAATACTTAGAAGTTATTCTAAAAGTCACAAGAAAATAAATACAAAATGTAAATGAAACAAAATAATGAATAGTAATTTATTAAATAAAATCAATAAAATTAAATCAAAAAGTTTTACAAGTTTTATGATTTCATTAATTCAAAATTAATAGATTAAGCTTCATAAAAAAAAATAATTATCCTTTAATCATTCTTTTCTGAACAAACTTTTCCAAGAATTACATTTGAATAAACCTATCAGGTTGATTGTTTTATATCAAGTTTAGACTGTGTAACCTATCAGATTAGCTCTTTTATACCATGTTTGCAACATGTAACCTATCAGATTGACTATTTAATGCCATGTTTGGACCATGTGACCTATCAGATTGACTGTTTCATGTTCCATAGTTGCATGACCTTGACTGGCACTATCATAGAAGCCAGTAGTATGAGACCCTGAGGGAGATGTCTCTTCAGTACCTAATCAAATTTATGCATGCATAATTAAACTTGAAAACTTGGGAAATGAAACATTTATGACCTAGCTACTGAATGATATTGCAAAGCAACAAAGTGACTCGAAACAACAGTTTACAGAAAAACTAAAATATTTGTAAGCCTATAAAAGACAATGTTAATCTCTCTGACTCAACATTATGTAATGTGTGATGTAATGTTACAGTCACGCAAGAATTTAAAATACGAAAGAAAACGTATTAGGCAAAATAAAGTTACTTGCTAGTTTCACATTCTCGTCCTCATCAAATTTGGAGCCTCATGAAACAATTTACTACATCAGGGCTAGAAATTAGCAGTCACCCGGTCGCCAGTGGCGACCTTTTTTGGTGTCGGGTGATAGCAAATGTTTTGGGTATCGCCCCGTCTGGCGACCCTTACTATTTTGGATTGATGAAAAAATAACCAACTACTTTTAGCCATTTTGGCGAAGGCTTAAAATCATTTAAAAGTTTCAAATACTTGCTAAACATCGTTTTTTTTTTTCCGTCCGAGCTCCATTTTTCGCCAATCATAGCCATGCAAAGTTTATTTGTGTTGTTGTATTGGTAGTCTAGATGCAAACATCATTGTGTGCTTCGCAGTTTGTTATTTGTTATTTTAACGAGGTGGATGCAGGGCAGTGGCTGTATGACGACGACTATTATGAAGGTGAATTACCTCATGTATGACGATTACACGAAGGAACTATATTCACGACAGCCGGCTAGCTGAAAGTGTACCCTGTGGGCGCAAACTGGCGACAAAGTATACCTAAAGGCAGCCGACCGCCGGGTACATAACAACTTCCGAGCTTGTTTATCCATGGAGGGCTACCTATGCTTAGGCCTAGGATCAAGGTCTATGCATGCAATGGTGGTAGAAATGTCATTCATAATTATTTAATCAATAATTTCGTGTTCTCGTCTGATATGTAAAATACTAAGTAATGCGTGTAATATTTTAGGAATGCACCACGTGGTTTGCTCTGTTACACAGTGTAGGTACTATAGAGCAGAGTGACGGCAGTAGGCACATAGGACCAGTATAAACCTTGGAAGGGCCAGTATCATTTTTTCCTTACTGGCCCTGCTGGCCACTATGGTTTAGAGTTTAATTTTCAGCCCTGCTACATTTGCTATTTTTTAAAAAAACATTCATTTTTTTTTCCATGGACAATAAAAAATGACTATCTGAAAGAATGATGCCAAGCCTAAAATTAGGTTGGAACATTAATGGTAGAAATACATTAAAATGATTCATTTTACTTCTTTTATGAAAAAAACAAACTATTTTTAATTATTTACCACAGCTGGTTTAACATTAGTATATAGGATACTGAAAAGCAAATAGTAAATACTCTCACCAAAAATTGATTTAAAATCAGGACATGAAACTAATAATTTATTTTATTTGGCCTTACTGATGAAATGGTGATAAAATAATAAAACTTTTTTAGTAGAACAGAATGATAAGCCTCGTCAACATCTTGAAGCCACTGTCAATTAACGATGCATTTACTGTTTAAAAAAATTACATCTTGTCAATTTACTTTTAAAAGTGTTCTTGTATTAGAGGTCATTTTGTCACTTGGTGGTCACAGTCTCAAATTAGAGAATTCCTAAAAGAAGGAATGGTCAGTTGGAACTTAGAAAAACTTATCCTGAATTAGAGGGGTCTAACAATTAGTGATATCTCAAATTAGAGGGTGAAATGTATTCAAGAATAATCATGTTCAGCTACTTACTCTATGTTCATCTTTAAACTTAATTGACCTCCATTCACAAACATTTTTTGTGTCTAATTCATTGTATATACAGGTCTCCATCTAATTAAAGACCCCTCCAATTAAAGACCACCTCTAATTAAAGACTACTTTTCTATGGTCCCAAATTAACAATTGTCTTTTATCTTTATTATTCTAATTAGCGACCAAAGCTGCTAAAGAACATGGAAACCCCCGCTCCCAAAAGCGGTCTTTAATTGGAGGGAAATCTGTATTATTACTTCGCCACACAAACCTTTAAACAATATTTTATTTTAATTATGAAGTCAAAATATTTCATATTATGAATTCTTTTCAAAAGTAGTGCTTCTTTCTCAAATTAATAATTCACTGTATAAGTTTGGGTTAAAAAAAAACCATGTGATTAATTACGTGATTGTCATCTGAATGTTATTTGCTGTATGGAGAAACTTAATAAAGAAAGAAAAGAATAAATTGACATAGGTATTGTGAGGTAATTTGTACTTACTGTTGAAATTGTTGACAACTGTATTTGACCTAGGGGACGTGAACCTTTTGGCAAGTTCTAGAATAGCAAAAAAAGATATATTTATATTATTCTATATTTTTCCAAAAATAGTACGGTACATGGCATAGTAAAAATATATAAAAACAAGACAATCTAAAATATGGATAAAATTTTTAATTATTTTCATCATAAATTTTATGTTCACTATCTAAAATAATCAATCTATCAACTAAACTAATCATTCAATTAATTACTTACTAATTACTTTCTAGTTAGTTTATAAAATTATCAGTCAATAAATTCATTATTTAATGAATCAAATACTTTAATTAGGCCTAATCAGTTAACTAAATAATCAATCACATAATTTATATTTAACAATTAAATAAATAAATCTATCAATAAATCTATCAATCAATCAATTGAAAAAAGATAACTAAGATATTCATCAAATTACTCATTTAATTGTTCAAATAATCAATTTTAGATTAATCAATCATCCAATCAATTTGTAATCAAGTTAATTGTTATATGTACACAGAAATAAAAACAATTACTCAACTAAAAGGTAATCAATGAATCACTCATTAAGTTACTTGATCAATCAATCAATCAATTAATTAATCAATCAATCTAGCAATTTGTAATCAAGTTTAAATATACAATTCTCCCTCTAATTAAAGACGATTTTTTTGTAGTCCCATATTATCAAATGCCTTCTACCTTTATTATTCTAATTAGAGACCAAAGCTGTTAAAACCCTTGGAAACCCTGGTCCCAAAAGTGGTCTTTAATTGGAGGGAGACCTGTATTTAGAAATAAAAACACAAAATTGTTATCATTCATTTCCATTTACCTGAATTAATAAGCTCATAAATTATATATAAATTATAATAGAAGAGAGACACAATCTACTATAGATACAATAATGTTTAATAAGATAGTATATTACATACTGCAAGTATCGAAATGCACACCATCATGTCGGGATTCAATATTTCAACATTAATTATGTCATCATCAAGAATGATTCCTGATGATGACATACCGTAATTAATGTCGAAATATTGAATCCCGACACGATGGCATGCATTTCAATACTTGGAGTATGTATTAGTTATCTTATAATGTTTAATGATTATGTCTTTTTAGTGCAGAATACTAAGGTCTCTATAATATAAAATAAACAATAATATAACCAATAAACAAATATATTGAGACTCACAAGAGGATTGTCCATATAATATTCAAATGCTGCTACATCACTTGCAATAATAAAATACCGACGATAAAATTTTCCAACTTGCCCCTGATCTTCAATATCAGCATAACCACAAGTTCTACCTTGTCTATCTACGTAAGGCATTGCTGTAAAGATAATCACATTTTTAATATGTGGCAAAGACAAGCCAAACCAGTCACTCGTCGCAAATCGTGTTTCAGAGAAAATGGCCAAAACATGCTAGAGTGTCAAATTTTTAAAAATCTATTTTATTGCACTAAACTAAACTTTATATATCTACACATCATTCTATGCTGTTATTTGTCCCATTTTCAATGTTGAAACAACACTTTTTAATGATTTAAAGATAGTTTCTGCATGAGAAATGCCTGAAATCATAAACTTTGAAGGCTGATTTCTCATTATTGTTCTTTAAACAGCTGTTTGGTTAAACGCTTGTAACTTCATAAGGAAATGTCCGATTTGAATGATTTTTTTTCCATTTTATAGCTATTATTTTACTCTCTAAAATGTTGAGTTTCTTGACACTTATATATCCTTTCTACTTTCTCCTTCGTGAGACCTTTAACCTTTGCCCTAATTTCTATGCTTCATGTACAATTTCTTGGGTATTTCTGCCAACTTCATAATTTTCTTCTCTAGGTTTATTGTTATTTATCTTCCATTTAAAAAAATATATATATATATAATATCACTTTGCTTTTTGATTATATACTCTTACAGGATTATGGATGCCAGTTATTAAAAATAAACAAAACAAAACGGATATAAACTATTTTGCCAAGGACGCATTTCAAGGCAAAAGCTAATTCAGGATCTGTATGTAAGTAAGGGATAAGTCAATGAATGACCTAGTCATTTACTATCATTATAACATCAACTCAGTTTTTATTCTGTAAGCAAGCTTGTCCTTCATGATGACTGGCATGTTCTGAAATCGCTGGTCGACACTTGACAAGAGCCCCCTCGATAATGAAAAATTGTTTTTACCTATGGTCAATTCGGAAAAAGTCTGTTAAATATTTTTTTTTTTATTTTCTTCACCAAAATATATTTTTTGCAAAATCAATGACATCATCATTCCAAGCTGCAGCACAATGCAAACTAAAGATAGTGAACTTGCTTTAAAAGTCTCTTAAACAACACATGGAGCATGAAATGGATGTTGTCTAATGTCTTATTTATTAATACTTCTATTCCTTTCATTATGTGTAATTGTATAATAAAGTACATTTTTCTATGTAAATTGTACTTTTTGTACTTGTTTTTAGGGACTACATTGTAAATACTGTAAGTAATTTTTAATAACTTTTATGTCTTATTTTTTTAATGTGATTATACCTTTTTTCTCTGTTTTAAAATGTGTCAAATTGGTTTTAAAATTTTTTTATGACATTTTGTACTGTTTCTGGGGGATGGCAAATAAATATACAAATTGTGTATCAATTTAATAGCATTAATGTATTATAATAACTTTTATTTCAAAATATATAAAAACACATTAAATTATCAAAAAATTGAAGCCAATGATGATTGCAGATTTAATTTCTTTATATAATCATAAAAAACTTATGAAACATCAAAAGGTTATACAACATAAACAAAAAAAATCATTGCATAAATCATGTAAATGTATGAGGAACACAATTCTCAAATAAAAAATAATGTAAGGTAGCTAAGGTGTGGGCACATCATAGTTTGTATCATTTTGTGGACTTCCTTGGTAGTACTGTATGTCTACTTTTGTTTTTAAATTTAGCTTCACTACTACTTTTGTTCAGATGTCTTTTCTTTCTTTTTCTATCTCATTTTCCTTATCATATAACAGTAGATGTACATACTGCATATACATAGATTCTAGGCATCTGATTTGGTTACAGAGCAAGCAATAACTTCAACCAGGACTATGACGTAGGTTTCAATGGTAGTTCATTTTTTCTCGTTTAAAAAGTACTATCAGTACTACTCTAAATGATAGTAAGCTACCTTTTTGCCCTGTCACGATGTGCAATCTCTAGGCTGCCACCTATAACGTTGCTATGTAATTTATAATGCGGCACGGACGATACAGGGTGACGCGACCTCTACGATGCTGAGAGAAATTGCCTTTTTGATCGCCTAGGCCTAGGAAGTAAGCAAAGGCCTACTGGGTGTGCTCTTTTCATTTCTTTTTTAGGTCTCGAATCTATGTATGAGGTAGGTCAAACAAATATTACCTGCTCTAGATTCGGGGAACAGTAAAATCTACAGCTCCTTGGGAAGATTGGCTACAGTCTCCACATTACCTCGGGGCAATAGATTTTTCCATTCCCCCCATGAGCAGTCAATATTTGTAAATAATTTCATCCTAGTAATCCAATATGGAATACAACTTCCAACAAAATTAAACCTGAATCTAAAATTTCTAGTTTTGAATAGTTCTTAACAATAAAATTAAGGCCTACTCTGATCTTGGCAAATGTTGAGTTTCTTGACACTTATATATCCTTTCTACTTTCTCCTTCGTGAGACCTTTAACCTTTGCCCTAATTTCTATGCTTCATGTACAATTTCTTGGGTATTTCTGCCAACTTCATAATTTCTTCTCTAGGTTTATTGTTATTTATCTACCATTTAAAAAAATATATATATATATATATAATAATCACTTTGCTTTTTGATTATATACTCTTACAGGATTATGGATGCCAGTTATTAAAAATAAACAAAACAAAACGGATATAAACTATTTTGCCAAGGACGCATTTCAAGGCAAAAGCTAATTCAGGATCTGTATGTAAGTAAGGGATAAGTCAATGAATGACCTAGTCATTTACTATCATTATAACATCAACTCAGTTTTTATTCTGTAAGCAAGCTTGTCCTTCATGATGACTGGCATGTTCTGAAATCGCTGGTCGACACTTGACAAGAGCCCCCTCGATAATGAAAAATTGTTTTTACCTATGGTCAATTCGGAAAAAGTCTGTTAAATATTTTTTTTTTTATTTTCTTCACCAAAATATATTTTTTGCAAAATCAATGACATCATCATTCCTGATGACGACATAATTAATGTTGAAATATTGAATCCCAACACGATGGCATGCATTTCAATACTTGGAGTATATATTATACTTTCCCAATGACATTATAGTATATATGTACAGCATTGGCATATGTAGAATTATTTAAATATATTTGGTTAGAGGGATCCAGATTAATAAAATACGCTCTCACCCTTGCATTCACACAAGAAAATCCCTGATCCAGATTATCAAGAAAATGACGGTGGGATCGGTCTGAGTCGCACACAACGCCTGCATCATGTGGCTCAGCAAATACAATACAGTACTTGAGATTCGGTCCCCGACATAATATTTTTGTGTTCTGGTTATATTTAATTTATGAAATACAAGTTACGGTAAACTTTATTAGTTAACAAAATACAGTAGGTCTAGACCTATCTCTTGATTCAAAGGACCTACAGTAGAATTTACACTAGATTAAGGCAAGAGATGAAGCTGCATCTGCATAGCCTAGAAAAATTATGCGAGTAGTACCGTAGCCATGCGCAATCTACTGAAATATCTTTGCGATAGCTAATTCAACACTATTCCTTTGAATAGACAAAATTCCTACATTTAAACACCTTTAAATGCGCTCTGAAGATCATAATTTTCTAATTTTTTTTCTTATGTTTGGAATGGGGCAAGACCCACTCATCGGCTAAGGGCCACACCCACTGGTTTCCATCTTGGACTTCCTATTTCATTTTTCTGGCCAAACCCCTGCATCAGAATAAGGTTAATGGGGTGATATAAGAACATGCACAATATTTAGTTGTCATTTTTAGGCTCATCAAATATTTAGTGGAGGAGTGTTAACTCTTTCTTCAGGAGGCATGAGTATACCTTGCCCCCCCCCCCTTCCTTAGATATGCCATCGGATACAAGGACTAGAGAGGCATGGCAACCCATTGCATCGGAATATTTTAGATTTCTGCAGGTCAAATGTCATAAAATATAAAGTTTTAAAAAAAAAAATAACCTTGAGGTACAGTAGAACTGTGCCATGACTCACAATTTCATATTTCATTGAAACTTTTTTGGGTCAAGATTACCAAACATTCAATAACCGTAATTCTATACAAAAGGATTATTATTTTTGTGAGAATTAGTATGTTTGTTGATACACAGTACTTTAAAAGTTGTAAACATTTCTGTGATATAGTCAAGTCAGGAGACCCCTAAAATCAATCTGGAAGATATTGACACTCATTTAGGATCAACAAAATCTCAAATGTTTGGGTCCACAAAAAACATAAAAGGAGGTCTGCCAAATCTGCAGAGGTTCATCAATATTGTTGATGAGACTTTTGCAGTTTAGTTGACCAATTCCAAGCAAAGTTAACATATTTTCTATCACTGTAACAGCTTAAAGAGCAGCTGGTGGTGCAAGGGAGGGGCTATACAGTATCCCCATTGCTTGGAAATCTTTTAAGCAATTAAGATTTTAAACGATATAATAGATCATTTTATTTTTTTGCTCTATTTCCTTTTTGGTATTTTCAGTGTGCAATCTTATATTTCATAATAATATTTATTCATTGTACCAGAAAGCAAATACACTGTACATAAATTTCAAAGAAACTGGAAAGTAGCCTCGAAAGGAAACCCATCCCAAAAAGAAGCCCATCCAAAGTCTGCAAAAAAAAGAAGTCCAGCTTCTATTCGAGATTAGATTTTATGGTATTACTGTACTGTACAGTAGCTTGATGTCTATATTAAAATAACTTTGCTGAATTCTGTAGCTTCCAGGAGAGCGAATTGGTGGTCCCTGGCCCAGTGGCGGCTCTAGGATATATTTTCTGGGGGACTGAGCTGTCCGAGAGGGTGGAACTTGAGCTTGTAGGCCTGAGCTAGGGGAAGGGTTCGAGAGGGAGTTCCCCTCCCAAATGAGATTTTTTTTCAAGAATAAGGAACCTCTGGATGGCCAGAAATAACACTCTCGCGAGACTGTTACAGACATGTGTTGGTTGGATTGGATTATTTTATATCATTTTTACTCTGAATGCCTGACGACAGGCTCTGTCCAATGAGGGGGCTTGACGTGTCTGCTGGGGGGATTTAAGCCCCTGCTGCACCGACCTGGTGCCGCCACTGCCCTGGCCCCCAGCCTAAATTCTTGCTTCAGCCCTTTCATCAGGTAGATGATAGCGCCATAACTGCTAAAGAGAACACAGCAACCCCAACAGGCAGGAACTCATACTAATAATTGTAGGCCCTACTGTATCTTTACCCACCAGTTTACTTTACAGTATATAAACTACATCTATCTAGTGCACTTTAAATTAAATTATATTTAATAAGCTCCACTCAGGTTTTGTTTTATCCCTTTATGAAATGATACAGTACAGTATTTTAAGGAAATGAAACAACTGAAATAATGTACCTGCAATTTAATAGGTGCTACTGTTTCATTCTCAATTATTGTAACATGGCTTCCTTTTGATAAATTCTGATCATACTTAATATGCTACACCAGTAAATAATATGAGAGAGGCTTTTGTTTGAACTGTATTTCGGTCACTGACTTACATATAGTTTTGAAATGTATTGCATAAACACCTAACATAACAAGTAAAAACAACGTACATTATTATACCATATGGGTTAAGGGCAGACTATGTATTGGATAAGAAGATTTTCGAGAATCAAGTTTATCTACCTTTTTTTTTAATACAAAACAGATGAGGAAAACATCACTAGATTTTGTATCAAGAAATGAGCAATGTAGCCAACAATTTAGAGGTACTCTGTACAGTAGTGTAGCACCACATACAAAATTGTTATCATGCTCCATATCCATAACGAAACCCTGAACTTTAAATCCACTTTGTCTTTCCTTGTTTTGTACGATAAATCCTGAGTTCTTTTATCTTTTGGTATATTGGCAGTTTTGCACAATTGGCTCAGTGAAGCCCGAATGCACCTATTTAACAACTTTCATCACTCGTCTGCATAGAAAAACATTTTTAAACTCAAAATATTTAACTTTTACTTCACACAAAATCATTTATGCTGCAGAATAACCTATATTTTGGTTACAGTATATTCATTTTTGTATATTATTAAAATAATCAATTGTTCATAATGTGTGAAGAAAGGAAAAACCCAGATGGTTCTTAATTTTGCAGTGACGAAGTACAAGGGAAGGACCATGGGGAACATTCCATGCATATTCAACTGCCTGCCCCCTTAATCACGCTGGTTGTTTTTCAGCAGTCCCTAGTCAACTGACCTACATTTTGCTTAAAATATTTAATGTCATGTATTCGTCTTGAAAAAGTTGAATATTAAAATTTTAATTAGTAGTCTAGGCCTAGGAAGTTACTTGTTTTACTTTATTTAGTTAGTCATGAGAAAAAATTCTGGCTTGACAAGATTTGACTGGGACTTTCCAATGGGGGAACACAGCCTGGCCTGCCTTCCCCCACCCACCCCCATACCCGCCCCTGAAAAAATTAAAGCAGTATGCATGGGAGCAATAACATTAGAGCATGAGCTCGAACTCGAACAGCCTTTCGTCTCCATGCTCTCGTACTGACCTGTAACGTGTAGTGTTTACCAACAAGATATGTTGGTTCCTTGCTTGATATCAAAACAGCATTGACAACTGGGGAAGATCCACTCCAGACGACCTGTTGTTGTTGTTAGTTGAATTGCTAGTATAGAAAGTATTTGTACGCATTCTAAATAAGTAATTAACATTCTACTAACCTGTTTGGATATTTATCTGCCGACGTACGAAACAAAATTTACTTTTATCACCTAAAATCCTACCATCATATGGGGTTTCAACACGCTCTCTTGCGAACTGCTTATGGACTTCCCGAAGTGTTGCAGTCCCACTAGTAAACTACTTTTATTTCCGCATAAGCATAATATCGCCAATAGGTGGCGGCAATTACGTTTCTAATATCACACACAATGTTGAATCTTGCCTACAGACCGAAATAATTAAGAAAGGGCCACTTGAAATCACGGAGAATGCGAATAAAATTATAGTAAGGCCACGGTATTGTTTAATATTCTATTGCGATGGGGCCCCTCGGCCACATGCTACTTTCGTTCGTGACACCCGTATAATTCGATTACAAAATGCATTGGGTCCCCCAACATTTCGCCCCCGGGACCCATGACTCTTCTTTTTCTTTGTCGTTACGCCACTGACCAAGACAGTTAATCAATCAATCAATCAGTCAATCAATTAATCTTTTTTGTCTACTTTCATGACAAAAGAAAATAGAAATTCATCTTAATGATTTTGCCGCTAAAGATATGATACCAAATCGAATGATTCAATCAGTGGCGGACCGTAGGGTAAATTGCAGGAAATGCTAGGTATTGGCATTATTTAGGATGTGCAAGGGTCGCGCACGCGCCCCCCCCCCCAAA